CCCCAAAACCCCAAAACCCCAAAACCCCAAAACCCCAGGAATTATATTTATGATTGAAAGTTTACTAATAGAAAATTAATAATTTATTCATGACAAAGCATAATATCTTCCACAACAACCTTCAATAAATTTCCATTTACTCTCAAACACAACTCTCTCTCTCATAAAATCCCCATTCCTCCTCTCCCAAACCCCCTCACCATACTACTCTCCATCCGTTTCTGCCCTACTAACTATCTCCTTCAACTTCTTTTCAAACCCATCTGGCCTGCCAAATCCTACTTTATTCTTCACATATTTCTTCGATATCTCCTTCTTAAACTCCTCAATCCAGGCTATATCTCCCATCAAAATCTTCTGCACTTCTTCCTCATTGAACCACTTAATTCTCTTGCCTGCTTCCCACAAGCCATATTTAACTTCTCCTTCTTGAGGCACTTCATAGCGACCAAGCCCGTGCTGCTTACCGAATGTCCAAGATCCTTCATATGATCTTCCATCAGCCCATTTGTAGATTCCAAACCCATGTTTTTTATCGTCTTTGTATTGGCCTTCATATTTTCTACCATCTTTCCATCCATAACATCCATATCCTTCCATGTTATTTTTTCTCCATTCTCCTACATATTTCCGACCATCCAACCAAGAATAAATTCCAAAACCTGAAATTTTATTATCTGCCCATTCTCCTTTGTACTGGCTTCCATCCTTCCATTTGTAAATACCGAATCCATGCTTGCCACCTTTATGGTAATTTCCTTCGTACATTGAAGAATCTCACCAAGTCTCCACTCCCTTGCCTTCTTGAAGGTCATTTTGCCATGCTCCTTTATAGGTGGAACCATTTTTGTGTGTGTATACTCCGAATCCATTTGCTTTGCCATTTATCCAGTCACCATCGTATTCATCTCCATCTGGATGAATAAATGTACCTTTGCCTTCTGCTAAATTAAATGCCCAGGTTCCTTTGTATTTAGCTCCATTTGGCCACTTGTTAATCCCCTCACCATCTCTAAATCCTCCTTTCCATTCTCCCAAATAAATCGCTCCAGATTTATATGTATATTTTTTCTTGATTCTGGGCTGATTGAAGTTAAAAATTTTGCCTTCGGTTATAGTTTCATAAAGCTCATCCAATTCAAAATATTCGTCTTTATTCCCCTTATTCTCCTCTATATCATCACTACTAATCCACTCCCTATCCTTACCTTTCTCCAAATGCTTCAGATCCTTAAATTTCTTCCTAGCAATACTGCCTCTCCAGATAGCCTGAATCCTCACCACCCTGTCTAACCCCTGCTCCAATTCCTTCTTCCTCTCCTCCTTCAGTACAAACTTCAAAGGATGTGAATAGTCCACATCCTGTTCGCCTCTGGTGGTCTCCTCATCTCTTGTGAGGTCAGCTCATCGGCTTACTCAAGATCCCATTTTTGTAGTTTGAATTAATACTAATTTGTGATAAAGATCTCGGGGTTTTGGGGTTTTGGGGTTTTGGGG